TGCCAGGAAGGATGCTCCTGGGAGGCACATCTGCCAAGCCTGTGCAAAGCCCCTCAGAGTGGGAACTCACCAGGATCTGCCTGGATGGTCTGGGCTCCTCTCTGCTGCAAAGGGATCGGATACACGACCAGCCAAACAGACATAGCTCATCCCTTCCCTCTCACGCCACAAGACTGGATCCTCTGTAAGCAAGGCACAAAAAGCAGCACTATTCTAAGTGTTATTTATTCCCATGAGAAGAACAAGTAGAATTTGGGTTCCAGTTGGGCTTCAGTGCACTAACTAAACCCCCCATTGCACTCTTTTTTCTTTTCTAATTGCCACTTTTGTGAGGTGACTCACACACCTTTGTTCCTTCTTCAGGCTGTGATCTTCACAGCCCTGAAAGGCCACAGACTGAAGACTGCAGACTGCCATTTTCAGACTGAAGACTGCAGACTTCCTCCTTCTCCAAGAGCAGGGGCTGCTCAGCAGCCTCTGTCTCTGTGCTGTGCTGTAAGAGGGGACAGATTTTCAAGTCTTGTTTGTTCAACTTCGAAACTTTTCTTGCATGAGACTCAGGATGTATTTAGGAAACAGTAAAGATGCAGGACAGTTTTGGAGAGGAAGTAGGATGTTTTAGATATGCAAAAAAATAATTACTTATGCTGAAACTGGGTCAAAACACCACAGTGTTTACCACGGCTTGCAGGAAGAGTGCCATGGGTTTTTTAATAACAACAAAAATTCAAGATCTCAGCATTGGGTCTCATCCCAAAAAGTAATATGGTTTCAGACCAAATGGAAACTAATCCAGCCTATAAATCACGATGCAGTAAATGCAACATGCTCAGTCCTGAACCCAGTCACTTTTGGTCAGCTAAAGCTGATCTTCCAGACAGCTTTGTTGCAAAGGCAACAAGAGATTGAGTACTAATCTTCTTCCCTTGCTATTGCTCCCATCACTAGTTATGTTGATTGTTTCAGCTGAAGTTATATTATTTTTTAATTAATCCAGCTTCACCTCATAGCCACCAGATTCTGTTATGTCTTTCTGTGCAAGGTCAAAAGCCTCTTAGCCCCTATCATTTTCTCTCCATGAGGGAAATAACTACACCTATCATGTTTTAGTCTTCCTTTAGATAGTCTAAGCAGACTAGTCTTGAAATTTATCAAGACCAGATATTTTCCTCAGTTCATAAATCCTTTTAGTGATTCTTCTCCCTGCCTTTGCCAATTTTTAAACAGCCTTTTCAAATGTGGATGCCAGGTCTGGATGCAGCATTCCAAAGTAGAATTGCCTCCTTACTCCTACTCGCTGTTTTCCTGATTCTTTGTTCAAGGAGTACATAAGCACTTTTGGCTACAACATTGGCAACTCTTGTTTGACTGCACGTCCACCCAGGCATCTAAATTTACAGATCAAAGGTTGGACTTGATGATCCTGAAGGTCTTTTCCAACCTAAATGATTCTGTGAAATTCTACTCCTCTCTCATAGATATACCAACTTCCATCAGATAGCTTTGAGGAAATATTGAGAAGTGTTTCCAAAACATGTTACAAATATGTAGTGCAGGCCTCAAGCCTTTTGCAACATATGGAGCAGAAGGCACATGAAAATGCTCCTCAAGCCTTCAGTTTCCTTCTCACTGGCCCACTGCAACAACCCTTGCCCCATATTTTAATACTGAATTCAGTGTGTTTGACAAAACCCTGGAATGTCCAGTGTATACAGACTTAGGAACTGGAGGATCTGTGAGGAATGAAGTTCATGACAGATGGATAAAGGAAGATCTGGAGCTGTGATTACATAGGAAGAGTTGAAGTCCATTTTGGGTTTCTGCAGCCTGTGCTCAACTAAGGCTCACAATAGCAAGGAAAGGATGTCACTCCAAAATCCTTTCTTCTCTCACAAAGGAGCAGAAGTTATATTATTTTGGTGCAGGAACAGACATTAATTAAATTACCTGAGTTCTAGATGGCAAAAGTTACAGAGCTGATGTATGCCTTTGCCTAGCTATGCAGCAGCAAAACAAAAATCAGCTACTTTGGCTCCTCACTTCACACCCAGATTTTTGCCCTCTGATCATTCACAGGAAACAAAGCTCACCTGCAGTTCTGGAAACAGCCAGGCACCCTTTGCTCCCTTTGGGCAGCCTGTCCAAGGCTGGTTCTTTGCCTGGGGTGGTTCTCCAGGTCACCAATCCAAGCCTGGCAGCTGCTGCACCCACTCATACCACACCAGCACACACCCTCACTGCCATGCTGAAAAATACCACTCTGAGCCACAGTAGGGACCTCTTCTTATTTCAAACACTTTGAACAGAAGAAATTTTGATTCTGGGTGAAGGTGTCAGGAATACTACTAAAACAGGATCTAGGGAAGATTAGAGGCCAGGGTAACACACGTGGACGGGAGCAGTCTGATCTTGAGGGGCCACTCAAGCAAATTTGAACCTTCTAATATTGCTTGATGGGGGACTCTGAAGCAGATGCCCTGGGACATTTGGTATTTAATTTTTACTCTTTCCAGAGAAAAGGTGCTAACATGGAAAGTGGCCATATGCCTTTTCCCCCCATCTCCAAATGTCAACTCTAAAGCTTTCTGGTACTAGAAAGATTCTCTGGTGTCAACCTGGCTTGTTCAGCCTCACTAGTAAACAAAACTCATGGTCAGACTCTTTCTTTGCTCTTCTGCAGCCCAGCCCAGGGCTGTCACTGCAGAGAAATGGTGATAAGTGAGGAAAGCTTTTGGCCAGGTCATCCTGCAGGAGCAGTGATATCAGCAATATAAGAGCCAGAGCAAAGTCCAGCTCACACACTCAGAGCTGTGCTGGCTCAGCAGGACTAAAATGTAAAATAATTATTAAAAAATAAAAGAAGAAACCTTAATTTTGTCTAGGAGTAGCAGCTCCAGCAATCAATACATTTGGAGAGCAGATTTGATAAGTACGGAGGTACCTTTCGCAGTCTTTTTCTACGTAAAATCATAGCACAGAACCTCATTTTGAGATCTTCAGCACCTTTTCACAAAAGCAACATAGTGCTACACCTCCTTTGACTCTTACAGAGGGTTGAAAACCTGACAGCTGTGCTTCTGGTCCAAGGAGGCAAAGCATTCCATTCTTGGTGGTTTTGCTGATAAGAAGTAATTGGAAACACCTTCCCTATGAAATATTGGGGGTTTCTAGGTTTTTTTTTTTCTCCTGGTATCACCTAAAAGATGAGGTGATACCTCATCCTCAGTGCCAAGAGGAAGGTTTCCACATAGGGCATCTTTATATGCCCCCTGCAGGACTTACCATCTGCAGGAACCACCCTAAGACAGACCCTGGGCTAAGGTGGTGCAGGGAGCAGGGCCTCCGAGGAGCCCTCTGAAACAGCTGCCACAGGGTTTTAAGGCACTGTGGTGTCCACAGGCCACCAGCAAGAGCATCAGCAACCAGATAACATTTCCTGCTGGGTCAGCAGCCTGAAACGGGAACACACTGGTCTAAACCTCCTGCTCTATGGCTACTCTGAGCAATGCAGCTCAGACACACCCAGCAGGTACGGGTTATGTGCTAAGCTTTACAGAAATGGCACACTGAACATCACCCTGGCAAGAAAAATGGAAAAAGGGAAACAAGAAAGGATGCTGACCCTAGCTAAGGCTGAACACTGCAACACCAGTTAGCAACAACTTTTTTATCTATTTAAGTGCCAACAATTGTAAAATCACAAATCAGGGCATTTTAGCCAGTAGATGTTTCAAGAGGAAAGATATCCACCTTCTTGTCCACACCTTTTGTTTTTTAAGCCCAGTGTTTCTCTGCATGGCTCAGTTTGCACCTAGATAGGTATTTATTTCTGTAAATCACCAGAGGTATTTATTTCTGTAAATCAGAAGCCAGATCCAAACCCACATGACCCAGGGCTAGCAGGGCTGAGGTACCGGGCTACATTCACCCACAGGTAGCCAGGACGTGAGGTGGCCCAGCAGTGACCATGGCGTGACAACCCTGCCAAGAAGGGCGAGTGATGCCCACTCCTGGCTGGCCACAGCAACCCAGACCCCAGGCAGGGCTCAGCCTGATCCCTTTGTGCTAGGATCAGTTTTCCTCCTGAGGCTGTGCTGCACCATTCATCCCACAGTCCTCACAACACCTCGGGAGTAAGGAGGCGGCCCCAAGTGTCAGGTTTGGAAAACCAAGAGGCAGATTCTTGGCTGGTGCAAGTCAGTATATTTTTGGCTGGTGCAAGTCAGTACAGCTTCACTGGAGGACAAGGAGCTACCCCAATTCATCCCAAAAGAAGGTCTGGCCTAGAGAGACAAAGGGACACACTGCAGCCACTCCATGGGTATGGAGGTTGGGCATTCCCAGTCCAACAGCACTGCTGCCATAGCTGGAAATCACACCTGGCAATGAATATGGCCCCAATGAACTGAGCAATGTAGAGAACCAGTCCTCAGAGCCATCAAGTGGAAAAGGTTTTCCACTTCCCTGAGTAGCTAAAATTCACTGTCTTCTCTTTTCAGCAGCAGTGCCTTCAGTTTTTGCTGCCCTTCACCTTTGGCCACAGGAAGATGCCAGCAAAGCACTCAAAGCCTCTGCCACTCAGCAACTACACCTGTAGTGGGTAACATTCTGATATTTGCCTACTCAGGGAACCTGGGTGACACCCTGTAGCTATGGTGTGAAGGGCAAACAAAACAATGACAGTCCTCACAGGGCATGGTCTCAGTTCCCCAGACTTTCATCACAAAAACCTCACGCGTGCCCATGAGGAGGTTGGTAGGTGGAAGCCCTAGTTTTACAGATCATCAGAAGGTGTAGTGAAGGGTAAAAGCACAGAAAAGCCCACAGTGTAGACTTAGGTAGGTAGAGGACCTCAGCTGGAGACTTTCCTTGCAGCCATCAGACATGCCACCTGTACCAGGTACATTTCCATAGCTTTTAATGCAGCTTAACAATTGTGTCGGAGACAAGGGAAAAGGCACACTGTACAGAAAAAAAAAATCTAAAATGATACCCTTTTATTTGTAAAGCTCTGATGAAACAACTTTCCAAATGATGTCCCACTTTAAAACCAATGAAAACCAACCTAACTATGCATCAGTCACACTATACAGATTGCATCCTACATTCTTGAGATGCCTAGATATCTTCTGTAGTATTTACACATGTATCAGTTAGGTAGTAAAGTTTCATTGCAATTTGTTTCTTCCCACCACACACTTACTCAATGGCAAAAAAAACCCTTGGGGATGCATTTGCATTTCTGTACAACACTTTGGAGCAAATGGCTAGGGCAATTTTCCTGAGAGAAGGCTTGTTCTTTGAAACTCTTGCTTTAACAACTGGAAATACAGGAGGTGGATGCATTTTTGTTGCGCTAAAAAGCCTAAGGATGCCTAGTTAAGTTTTTCTCTTAAATTATTTACGTACCATTAAGTTAAAATGTTTACATTCATTCATTCGTATAAAAACCGTTGTTAAATCTTATGCAAATGATTTAACACTGATTGCTGCAACGCAAATTGCACTTCTTTAAAAAAATTATTGTATATATGGAAGAAAAATATCTGATTGCTACCCTGTTTACAAATTTTGACTGACTCTACACACAGTTCAGCCAGGAAATATGGACTTTCATAAATCTCAGTCACAGTGTACTTTAAAAGTTATATCGCAGTCTTGAAAAGTGAGTAAATATTTTAAACCAAAAAACACCAATCCCAAAATCTCCTTAACCAGCTGGACCTTGTGGGACTTGTACCAAACGTTGTGATTTCTTCCAGGGACATAGCTGGGCTCTGAAGAGCAGAGCAAGGCACGCTGAAGACGAAGAGCATGGAAGGAGAGGTCTGACGGGGCGAAGACATCAAATCTTCGGTGCGAGAAGTCCGTGTCAACTCAAGCTGTAAGCGCTTCTGACACTCATTAAAAAGTATCTCACTATTTCTGGTAAATAAAGTCTTTGCTACTCCCTCCTCGACATTGACAACTTCCACCAAATTCTTAATGGAAAAGGCAATGAGAGAGTGAAAACAACTACATAATCAGAAAGGCAGCGCTGCAGGGTAAGTTGAGGATGAATTTCTGGAATCTAACAATAGGTGTGGGTTTATCTCTTCTTTTTTGTTGTTGTTTTTTCTTTTCCTTTTTTTTGTTTTTATTTTTTAAGTTTTTTTGAGGGGGGCTTTGAAGGGTTTTTTTAAGAGTGTAAGGCTGTGTTAGCTATCCCCGGTGGTCATTTGCTCTCCCTACATTTTTCTTGCATAGTTGAGGAACTGGATGCTTTGGCAAAGCCTCTTTCAGAAGTAGAAAACCACCTCTGCCACCAAGGCTCAAAAACTGTTTCAGAGGAATGGTCTTTGCCAGCACTCTCACTGCCGCTGCGACCGCTCGCTCACAGAGGAAACTGCGTGCAGATGTCTGGGGGCTGCCAGGATCCAGCTTCCCTCGCGCCAGGTCACGCCAGAGCCAGGGCACACCAGGGATCCTGCCTCACAGATGCTGTCACCTCGGCCGTGGAGCTCAGGCTGACTCCTGTGTACAGCCCATCTTGACCTGAATACTTGAGGTTGCTGCTCTCGGGGCTGGTGCTCTCTCCGGGGCCAGACATCACCGACGAGCTCGCCTGCAGGGAGGGGGAGAGCACACAGAGATTCATTGAGCAGGTGAACTTGGCACACACTGGGGTGTGAGTGAGAGCACAGCGGGCCTGAAGCACAGCCATCACGACAGGATTTCTGTGCAAAAACAGGGTTTGCCCTCTGCTTGCCCCTGTGCCTTGAAATCCTGAAACAAAAATGTCTCAGCATGAGCCCAGCCCTGCTGATGGCAGTGATGTCTGTGTTTGGAGAGGTAGAAACGAAACCATGTGATGTGCAGAAAACTTGGAAATCAGCTCATGATGAAGAAGGAAATGTGCATGTGTCCCACTGCCCCCTACTGAAAAGACACAGCTGCCAGCACCAAAAATGTGATCTGGGAGTGGTGGCAGCTCTAGTTTTTCATCCCCATGGGAGAAGACCAATACATCCTAATTCTCCAGGAGCAGATACGGAGCACCTTCTGGAAAGCAGCTTTCTTTGGGCTCTTCAGCCCTTGAAATGCTTAAAATCATTCCTGACCCTTCAAAACACCAGCCAAAACCACTTTGTCTCTGTAGGACTGGCCACTAAAGGAGATGCTCTTTTAATCTTCAGCGGAGAAACACTATGCCTTTGAAGCAGGAGTATTTTTGTTCTGCTGACTGCACAAGACAACATGCAGGGAAGCCCTGGTAGGCACGGAGATGAACCTCTGAACCACACTGGAATCAGTCCATTTATTTTAACAGAGAAATGGAGAGTTAAAAAGACAAAGGAACAATCATTTTTTCCATGAGGCTGAGCAGATCCGCTAAAGAGGAAAAATTCGCAGTGCCAGACAGAGAAGGGGCAACATTTTCACCTGATAAAGGAAATGTTTAAGAGCTGACTTCATGCAAAATTAACTCTTGGATATGTCAACTTTAAAGCCTTAATTTACTTTATAATGGATAGTCTTTGGATGAAATTCCTTAAAAAAAAAAATAGAAAAAGGCTATCCTAAACTGTGACTGCAGAAGCTTCCTGCCTGCTTTTTAAGTACGAAGTATACATATTTAATCATTTTACAAGAGTAGAGCTCTTGGCTCTCCTGGAGCTGTGCCAAGCGAGCAGTCCTGACATAGGAAAAGCAAGACTTCATTAATTCAAAGGTAATTTCCAAATGGTGTGGAGCAGGGCTCTTGTTGCCATGCTTAACCCAGGGAAAACCTCACCTTCTGAAAGAGATACTCACTGCTAGCACTCATTTTTGTCTGAAATAACCTGGGCTCCAGTATTTTCTTAACCTTTTATCAAAATGATTGACCGTGAGTATTCTTCCACCCAGTCACCAACCCTGATCCCACTCCATTAGTCACTACCCAGAAATGCAGAGAAGGAAGGAAAAAAAAGCTGTCCCCCAAAACCAGCTGAAACAACTCTAATCCGAAGAGATAAGTTTTATCTCTCCCTTGAACAGACAGTTGCCAATCACTGACAACAAATCTCGGTATCCTCTTTCCCTGTGACTGTGCACGGAGAATTCAGTGAGGCAGGTTCCATGCTAACCTTTGTGTACAGCCCTGGTCTTGCATCAGCCCAGCTTTTCAAAGCCTTCCTTTTATTTCTAATGCCTCAAACATTTCTGTTAGCACAATAGACATAATTTTTAACAGCTTCAGTCTCCCCACAGTGGAAGAAGGGTTTAAATTAGTCGAGCAGTGTTTGCTAAACCTGAGCTAAAAATACTAAAGGAGCTGCTCTGAAAGGTTCCCATTTGCCCATATTTACCACTGCTGTTCTGGTAAGCAAATATCTTATCAGTAACTGTTTTTTCCGGGCTTGGAAAGTGTAATTCACCTTCTCCTGATTCAGCCCTACAAAGGTGGGGTGCAGGGACCCACAGTTTCCATATGGGGTTATGAGGTACCCCTCCCTCGGGCACCCCAGAAGGGAGGACATGGAGGCACGTCCTGTTTGAGGACTGCCCATCCCTGCCTGTCCAAGGCCGGATTCTGGCTCTGTTGAGCCAGGACGGGCAGGACCCGGGCAGGACTGCCAGCCCTGGAAACCCCACCCCAGTAAAGTCATGACAAATCCAGGCAGCTTGGGCAGCTCCCAAAGTGAGACATGGAAAACAAACCTTGGCTCATGAAAAGGACGTGACAGAATCACAAGTCTGTTCCTGAGCCTCCCTACCTTTGCTCTTACTTTTCCAGCTTTAAGGGACGAAACACAACAGAAGTTGCACTTAGTTATTAGAGGACTTTTTTCAGCTGAAATAAATAAGCTGAACAATTCTGATTAAGTCAGCATTGGGGTCTAATTCACAGCTACTGGCTCTATCTATAAAAAGGTAATGACTTTATTTTTATTGGTGAAATCTGATAATAGATAATAGATAACAGATAATCAACTGAAGGTCAGCTTCCAGAGGAAAAAATTAATGAAGTCCACTGGGAAGAGCCTGCCTCTCAAACAAACAGGGAAGTTGTGTTTGTATCCGCAAACACTCTTCTTTTTACCCAAACCAGGAGGATCTGGTCATGAGTCAGCCCCCAGGCAGGTGGTCTGTATCTGAGGTGGCCTTTCTGTAGAGGACCTGCCCACCATGTACAGAGGAAGACCCCTGCCAGAGACACAGAGACAACTAGACTGCACCCAAACCTGCCATCAGGACCTTAGAGGAAGATTAACCCCCACTAAAGCTGCTCCACATCAAATCCAGGCTGCTCAGGCTGCACTTGCCAGCACTCAGGGAACAGCAGCAGCAGCTCTGGCTGAAAGACTCCTGCTTTTTCCACCCACTCCTTCCTGCACCATTTGCCCACCACAGAGAGCAGGGAGAGGGGATGGACACTTTCCCCTCTGGCCTTCCCCCACACCTCCGCAGCCAAGAGGGAAAAGCGCTGGGCAAGGTCAGCTGGAGGGGGGCAAAGGGCCTTGATCCAGACCTTTGGTCTATCAGATAGACCTTTGCTCCATCCGCTTAACACGTTCAAAATGCTCCATGAATTTTGGACATTACATTAAGTCAGCAATAAGCTGAGTCTCAGCTGAGACTCTCTTCCTCCTCAGCCTAGTTTACTTTCGCAACACGTAAGTGATATCTACGGTCAGTTAAAATACATTTGCAAAGAATTCTTTCACACATGAAGTGTTGTGGCAAGCTGGTGGAGTCCCTAATTTTCCAGCCTCAGCCTCCCTGCAATAACTCCCATCCCCACAAAGAGCACGTTTTCCCAACACTGTCACTCCCTGGAATCCAAAGAGCAAGTCTTGGCACTGCAAAATGACAGCTTTTTTTACTGATGCAACGACCCTCTTAGTACACAAAGCTGTCATTTCTTGCTAGTCCAATTGATCCTTTTGTTTATACTGCAGACGTGTAAGTTTACATATCTTCTAATCTCTCCTTTGTATTATAGCAACATAAATCTGTGGTTAATACTTCATTAATTTCCTAAGGGAGGCAACTTCCAGCATGGCCTGGAAAACTGATGACCCACTGCTGTCAAGGGCTGTATGAGTAACTGGCTTTATTGCTTTGGCAATAAAACAAAACCAAGCAAAAGGTATGCATCCATGTGCATGTAGAATTTTGGGATAGAAGCAAAAATACTTTTTCCTTGCTTTTCCCCACTGAAACAAAAAAGCTGGATTACTTCCTTCTGTTTGATATAAAAATGAAATGCCTTTTTTTTGGATACATACACACAGAACAAAGAAAATTACTCAATGTAAAAGCAAAAGACTCAGTGTATGAAACCGAGTGGGGAGAAGAAAGTAGCTTCCCATTTTGTCCAGGACTGAGCACTGGTGCAGAAGAGGTAGGAGACCAAGAAGAATTTAAACTAGAGTCTAGAGTATCATATCTCCCAGCATACTGCCCTGTCTGCCATGCTCTTTGGTATTTTAGGTTGCCACGTTCCTCATACCTCCTGTTGATCTTATTCCACCTGGTTTAGATAAATATTTACTCATACCAGGACTGAGGCACCGTGTTCCCATTTTCCAGGTGAAAGTCCTACCAACCATGCTGGTGAGCCTTTCTCATGGAAACTCTGTCCCAACACCTACAAAATTATTCCATACAACTGGAATATTATTATCAGATAATCTGAAGGACCCCTGGACATTCAGCTCCCCTATATCCAGGTGGCTAGCACATTGTTTTAAGAGGTTGAATCTCTGGTTCATCCAGACACAGGACGTACTCTCTGGAGGCTGATTTCCCTGTAGCCAGCATGAATGTCCTATCAATTTGCTGCCTAAACACCACCTCTAACCAGCTCACTCTTCTTCTTCTGACAGGAAAAAAGAGAAGGCAAATGCAGGAGAAGGCATTAATCCAGTCCAGCCCCACTTGTCCAGCATTTTGGAGACAGTTAAAACTGCATTTTTCCTGCTAGCTCACCGCATGCCGAGGCCATCTCAGTCAGCTCTCTCATTTCCCACCCTACAAAACTGAAGAGCCAGTCATGAACCACTTCTCAAGGTAAACCTCCAAGGGAAGCAAGCACTAGTTTTTCCTCCTGAGTTTTTCTGTGGTGTGAGATTATGGTCCTTTTGAGAAAACTCCAAACTGGATGCAAAGGACACAGGAGAGCCTTCTGAAAGAAGAGTTCCCCTGTTGCTGCTGAGTTTTCCTGACATCAGTTGTGGCTCAAGGATACTCCATGTCCTGCCATAAAAAGCAGATTTTACAGCAGGTTTCATACTGCCTTTATCCTAATAAGGGAATAAAGTCCTTCTGGTTATCACACTTGTTGGAGCCCCTGCATGGAAATGGATGGGTTTGCACTACAGACCATGCCCTTCGTTTAGCAATTTATTTGGTGGAACTTTTCCCTGTACAGTTTCAGCAGCATCAAAGGGAGAGCAGGTATAGATGCAGATGCAGGCTGTCTGAAATCTTCAAATCTTCTTTTTATGGGGACATAAGGCAATTTCATATATCATGCAGCTGGACCCTTTCCATATTAGTAACACAGGACACCCAGTACTTATAGTGCTTAGGAAAACAGAAATAGGCCTAGATCCTAGATCCAGATGTGAATTTGGCAAATAGCCCCTTTACAATGGGACAACAAAATATCTCCGATCCAAACACTTCTACATTTTGGGATGTTTGAAATCAACTTTGCCCCCACAGCAATTCATTAATCGTATCACTTAAATGTTTAAACTTCAGCTAGAATGTAAAATCAACATTTAAGGTTCTTGCTAATTTGTCTCAGAATTGGCATCATATAAGATTCCCTTCGTGAAATGGATAGTCTCAAAGACACGGCCAAGAGTAATTGCTGCCCTCCTCTTTTTCTGCCCTCCCTTCTTTATTTTACTTTAAAAGAGATAAAGAAAGGTAGGGCAAAAAGTGAACGTTACTGACACAAATGAATTCTGCTGAATCTCATTTCCATTAGATTTCTACATAACTGGAAACTTTTTTGGCAGCCTCCCACAAAAGGCATAATAAATTGCTTTTGTACCAGTAGAGGAATTCGTCTTCTCTGTTTCATTTAGCAACAACATTGCTGTGAATTTCACACAACAGTTTCTAAAACGTCATCAGATTTCTCTGCCTAATGTCAATTTGGCATTTTCCCCCCTCTTCACAGAATAAAGGCTAGAGAAGCAAAAACAGAGCAAAACAAAAACAAGTTGCCATGCCCATTGTGTAAGGCACAGAACGAGCCAGGTTCTCTGTTCAGGCAGGTGCCTGTTTTTCGGCAACATCACCAACACCACTGTCAGGAATCAACATTGGTCTTTTTAAAGTCACCAAAGACTACAGAGCCTGGATTCATCCATCTGAGGGTTTGGTTTTTTCCCTCCTGACATGAGCTGAAGAAGTTTATTCTCCTTTGCAAAGCCATTGCCTATTCTAGAAATAATTACAAACCTTTGATCTATCAATAGATCAACATAAAAGGAAAAAGAAAAAATAACCAAGAAAATAGAAGTCTAGCAGAGCATCTTTGCTTCAGCATGTGATCAGGCTGCTTTGCTCTTAAATACTGAAGTCTCTTCACTCACAATAGCTTAAATGGGCTTTACAAGTGCTCAGTCTCTTCCATAGGATTTAGACCCTTTAGAAATTATTTTGCATCCTTTGCAGTTAGTGATCACGTTCTCAAATGATGTCTGGGACAACGGGAGCCCATCTTAACAGCCACCACTTTCTACTTTAAACTTCCAGCCTCCCGAGTGCTCATCCCTTTGAATTACAGATGCTTGCTTGGGCAAAGCCAGAAGCCTGAGTGAAGGATGTGCCCATGCCCGTGACATATCCTGACAACTGCTCCCTTGGAAATCCCCTTTTCATTCACACACATCTGGGCCTGGGGCACAGGGGTGGGAGATCAGTAGCCCTTCACATAATTTGGGATGGAGTCAGAGGATGCCCCTATGTCTGGTTGCCACTGCAACTTCCTCTCTTCAGCGCATGGCACAGCCCCTCTCCATCACTTCCGATCACTGAAATCTTTCACGAGGGGGTATTTGCAAGTGCTTTGCATATGCAAGGCACATCTGATCAAATCATGGTGGGGAAAAGGCTGTGCAGATGTTACCATGCTGTCTGCTGGATATAAGGGGACAGATTTTCCCAGCTGCTGTGCAGGTGTCCTCTCCCAGTCTGATCTACTGTAGAAAAATCAGGCAGAACTGAAGTCCTGTCACTGAGGATGCCATCATGTAAGTAAGAGCAGCCTCAAGGTCCCTCCTGGGAGTTGCTCCTAGTTGCTAAGGAGTTCCCAAGGAGTCTTTTAGCCCTCAATCCATGCCCCTGCACCCCTCTCCTCTGGTACCCACACAACTCCATCTGGCAAAACCATATTAAAAATGCTACTACTTAAGCTATAACATAAAGATTATTAATAATGTGTTTGATGTGCCCTTCTAGGGAGAAATACCGCAGAAAGGAAGTCAGGTTTTAGCCAGCCAAGGAGGCAGCAGCATAGTGGAAATGAGATCTCCTCTATATGGCCTCTTCTTCCCTGAGCAGCACATGGCTGTGCTGCCTCAGTCTAGCCTGGGATTGTGCTTCCCTGGCTATCCAACACATAAACCTCACCACACTGCTCAGGACCACTAGTACTGCTTAAGGTAACTCAAGGAAAATTTAAGAAAAATTTGGCTACATTTTTTCCCTTGCAAATATCAAGGGAGAGCCTAAACAGCGCATAGTAGCTCCTTGAGGGAGTCTGAAACCCAATTCTGAAACTGCAACAGTTCACTTTTCAGTTACTGTTTCTCTTTTTTTTTTTTATGTGATCTGTTTATTTTACTGGATTGACAGGGTTTTCTCATTTCTAAGACAAGCCCTTTTAATACTATCCTAGTCTCACAGGATCCAAACCCAAAATCCAGTGCCTCTGAAAATGGGTGGCCCTGTCAGTCCACAAACAATCACATTTGCTAAAAAATGAGTTTTCTTCCCCTTGTACAATGAAACTTTGTACATCAGAAATTAAACTATTGAAAGCAATTTGAATGTAGAAAATCCAAGACATACTGAAAAAAAGCTATTATAAACAATGTCTTCTTTTCATTAATAAAGAACTAAAGAAAGCCACATTAGAAAAGTTTCTCAAAGAAATGATGTGGCAGATTAAGGGATACAGAAGGCTGAGAAGTGAGGGTGGATATGGATAGGTACAGCCAAGGAGTTAGAAATTAATCTACATTCAGCTTCACAACTTTAGCAGCAGTATTTATCACACATGCTGAGTGAAGAAAGGAAGTTTGAGATGGTTGGAGTACATGATGTAAAAGAAGGATCAAAGCTAAAGCAGGGGATGATCAGCACTCCTCGGGTGCTCCTCTGGAGCTTGGTGCTGCCAGATGCTGAGCATCTGGCCCCTGAAAAACCCTCTGTGGGCAGAGGGCTGAACCCCCACACACTGCAGTCAGCAGAGTGCTCCAGCCTGGCTTCAGCTGAATTTGGATCAGGGTTTAATTGCACATTTTAGTTTAAGACAAAAGTCTGTATAATTTACTTCATACAGCAGGATAATGTTTTTCTGGATTCTACCCTTTGAGATAATGATGTGTGTATATATATATATATATATATATATATATATATATATATAAAATTGTTTCTTGAAAGGATCAGTTAGGCATGTTTTATTGTCTTCTGTCCAAAAGAAAACCTTTGAAATGAAAGAACCTGAATATTTAAAAACAAAGTGTCTGCGGTTAAGCCACAGCTAACTATCATAAAAATTATATAGATCTTAATCAAGACGGTTTGCAAAGTACTTCAGCTTGTCCCTCTGTTTACAGCTATATGTAATATCCTCCGAAAATCTTGTTCTGGTATCAGCTAACAGAACTGGAAAGTTTGTTTAGATTATTGTTCTGCTAGATAAGATAAAAGCTGTGATAACACTGCCCAGTGATCAGCCTGCCTGCAGATGCAGTCACTCACCCCGGAGGCTGCAGGCTGTGCGCCGGGAGAAGCAGTTTTGCTACAGTCGTCTGAGTTGGTAGAGGATGTGGATGTCGGAGTCATGGGAACTGCAGTAGTACTGTTACCTGGAAAATTGGGAGTTGGCATTAAAAATAAATATTTTCCAGACAGAGAAGAAAAAAAAAAAACCAACAACAGCAAAAAACCAAGACAACTACAAACTATTGCAGCTACACTTTCATATATTTTATATTTACCGGAGCATGCCTTTGATTTATTTATATTCTTAGGTTTTCGCTTCCTTGTCTGAATTCCTTCTTTTTTCATAGCGAGAGGCCGAGGAACCTGAAAAAATTAAATTTCCACACTAATCACAGAGTTGCATATGTACTCTAATCAAAAATCAAAATACACTACAAAACCAGATACGATGTTGCAAATGTCTGTATAGCAAGTTAATTTTCTCTCTGTCACAGTACTAATTCTAAAAAATATTTGCATTTTATTTGGGCAAAATAATAGTTTGATTCAAGGGTAGTCGTAGCTGAATTAAGAAAGTAGGGAAACTTTTTTTTCTCTATGCAAACTTCATAGTTTTTTCAACTCCTCAATTAATCCACAGGAAAACAGCACAGAATTAGGGAAAACCAGCATCATTTGGCAGTAAGCCATAAGAAATTAAATTGGATGAGGCATATCTGATCGTTGATTTATTATTCCAGTCAGTTAGGAATTATCTCCAGTGCCTGATTCTGGAAAGAAAGAATGTATATGAGAAAAAAATTCATCCTCATCCTGTGGACCAGCTCTGCAAACCAGATCATCACAAGGAAATGTCTTAGGATAGAAGGTTTAGAATAGAAGAATTGACTTGGTATTTGTTCCTATAAGCAGATCTGCCCATAATACAGCTTTACAGTATCTAAATTTATATTTATAGAGATAAATTTGTATTTAAATGTGCTCAAAAATCATCTTTGTGTTCATTACCATAATAATCACACTACGAGGACACCAGCTTAAAATATATTTTAACACCAGTTTGAGGAAAGAAAATTAATGCGCTATCTATCGCTATAATATTTAAACCTGTGACATAATTTACATTTTACTGAAGGCTAGACCACATCTCAATCATTCCTAATGCTCTTGCTCTTCAAACATTTATGCTTGACAGTAACACAATCCACAGGCGTCTCACCCAAAACACACTCTATCACATTCAGGACAGAGCTATTTTAGACTTTATTATTGCCCAGCAAAGGCTGAAATTGTCTTTAAAGTTTTTCTGGTCTAAGGCTTGAATAGCCATAGCTCTTTTGCTGGCATTGCTATGTCTGCCCATGAAAAACTGTCTCATTAAAGGTCTAGCGATTTTTTTCCCTACTAAAGAGCTGGTTTAAATCCCAGTGGCAAAAACACCACTGCTGCTCATCCAGAGGTGGTTTCTTTATATGAATCTATTGAGAGAGCTACAGAGGCAAACACATAACTACTCAAAAGCATAACAAGCTAAAATGGCACAATCATCTTCTGATGTCACACATTTTTCGGTTGCTCTACGCGTTTCGCTGGTGACATTTTGAGGAGCACCCCTTCCCCAAAGCACACCAGGGCTGGCAGGGGATGTCCCGTGGTGGAGCAGCCACTCACCCCGTGGAGCTTCATGTAGAGGCCGCAGGCGTTGCAGACGGGCTCGCCCTCGGCGTTCCTGCGCCACAGCGTGGTGGTGGTGGTGTGGCAGTTGGCACAGGACAGCCCCATCCGCCGCGACGAAGGCTGCGCAGGGGCAAGCACAGGCAACACGGCATAAACAGGTGGGCAGCAGAGAACGATTTATGTCTTTGTGCTTCGTAAAAAGTCCTTTAACACATGGCGGGGATGGTAGGAGCCTTTCTTTAATAGTATCTGTCAGCCACAGCCCAGAATTAGAATGGATAATCCTCATATCAGAGAGTGAAAAGATGCTGTGAAGAGGAACTGAATGTCTTTTAACTCTGGGCAGTCACAACAGAGGCAAAATTCTCATCTGGGAGCTGGTGACCAGAAGTCTGTTCAGACCACCAGGCACAGGGTTTTTTCCAGCAGGACAGCTAGGAAATATCTCCACTACAGCTCCATCGAGCTGAACAGAAGGCACATCACTCCCGTGCCGCCTCTCCAGCCAGTTCAGTGCCCTCTCCCCTGTGTGGTGGGTGAAGAGGCAGCTCTGATCCTGCCACTGATACTCCTGACTCATTGGAAAAATCATCCACTTTAATCGCCTGCCCTCGGTGGCACCACATCTGGGGAAAACTTTCCTGGGCATCCCCAGGGTAACACATACAACAGCCTTACTTTGATAAAAAGGTCTTTTTATCATCGCCCATTTTATCATTGTACAAAAAACAGCATGCCTTGGGAGCGTGTTTTACTGAGCAGAGCCTCCCTTGGCCAGCAGAAAAGCTGGTGGGGGACAACAAGGTTCCCACTGCAAACAAGCCATTTATGACACTCTTCCGTGGAGTTTGGAGCCAAGATGAAGCAACTCTGTATCAGAAATAACCGTATAACCCAGAGCTTTATGGCTACAGGCTGTATATCATAAGTGAAGGCAGTCCTCATAAACATGTGAAATGAAGGTGAATGGGTTATAAAAGTCCCTGTAACAACTGATCTCTTTTACGTTCATCACAAGCAAAGAATTCCAGCTACATCGTAAATCTAGTCTTTTTCAAAGTATCGCATTGTCAAAAAAATACAAAAAAATCTGTGCCTAGCTCTGTGTCTGGCAGCTGAACAAGTTTACATGGAGAAGTCAGTTTCAGAGGATTGCATTAATCTTATTCTGACCATAAAGTGCCCATAACCGAAATTACTAACTTAAGGGTACAATGCCCTTCCTCTTGAATCATTTACTGCTGGGTTGTTAGACATAACTGGGTCACCTTTGATACCACAGGGCTTCCTGCCACTGGGGAAATCAATAAAAATGTTTTGAGAATGAAGAATATTCCAGAGTGATAACTGAGTTTCTTGAATATTGTCTGTTTGAGTGTCTTTAGCAGTAAGCCGTCATTTTACACCACAGCTCAGAAAGAGCTCCAAATTAAATACAAATTTTGAAATCTTGAATCAGTAATCCATTATTAACTACGCAGGGGAAAAGAACTAACCACCCAGCCAAGTGTTATATAGGCTGAAGTACACAAAAATAATTTTTAATTTTAAAAATCCAAGTGCCATGAAAACAGAATTTTTGACTTAGTTATTAAATATATACGCACACAGCACTCAAATTATGCCCTCAGCTCAATACGTGTTTTATGTGATCACGTTGAGTAAAAGAAAGCTGGTTGTAACACACGTGTTTCGTTTTCTTTCTCTGCAAGTGAAATGCTGTCAGCTGTTTCACTCTGTTAAATTCTATGAAGTCTGGTCTGAACCTTCATACATTTTATTTCAATAGCTTTTGCTCATTCCCATATCTAAACAGCCATGGAGTTTTGGCATGTTTTGAAGCTAAAATGACTTTTCTGATGCAGGAATTTTATCAGAAACTTTGGGGCAATCTAAACATGTTTAGCGTTTTCAAAACATTTTCCCTTCTCACCTACATATTTCCAACTGTATGAACACAGAGTCGTGGTTGATTTATAGTTATGGCCAGGGCACTTGGTAGGGATTGTTACACAGAGCTATTTCAGAGTTATTTCGCTGAGGTGTCAGACTGAAATCGGGCTGTAGTTTGACTCTGTTTTAGTCTTCTCATCCCCACCCCTCCCTCAAAAAAAACAAAAAAAAAACAAAAAAAAAAAGAAAAAACGAAAAAAAAGGACACAGAAATGCTAGAACAGGGTGTCAGCTACTTGAAATCTGCCTTGGGCCCAAGTGCCACAGCAATTTGGGCTCTGATGCTTGAGACAATCAGCAGATCTGGCCCCTCCGCTGCATCTGACCCCGCTAATGAGATAGCACCTTGTGTCATGAAATTTACCTGACGGCCAGCTAGAAAAAACAGACACCTAGCAGCAGTAAACCTCTGGCCTAAAGTTAAATTAACTCTTTAGCTTAAAGGTCTTTAAGCAGAGGTGGGTTGGTTCCCAAGCGCTTACTGTCTGTTCCGACCATCGAGTGTTGCTTGGGTCTTGTTTCCCCTCGCTCCCGTAAGAGCACTAAATTTAAATGGTTGTGAAATAAAGAACAGTAGGTGTTTCAGCCCAAGGAAAACAGGCATGGAGCAAAGCAGCTGGCATGATTGAAAGGGGCTTGAAAGGCTGATGGGTTTGATACACTGTCTCCATACACAAGGGTCCAAACATCAGCTTGGATTATAGTGGTGTGATTTATTGTGGCTCGCTCGGTAACAGCCATTACTGAGAAGCGTATTCTTTCTGTCTGCTGACCTCCACCCAGATTTGCTAAACATAATGTGCAGTTCCCACTTGTTAAATTTTCTCCTTGCCTATTCAGCGCCAGCCTGAGTTATAAACAGGGGTTCTGGTTTGTGCTATTTATTTCCCCCCCTAGTTTTAGGAGTATATTTTTAGAAAAATTGCGGCTCATTTCTTAGGAGTAAAACAAAACAAAGGCTATTATCATTGTTTAAACAATTGGTTTTCTTTGAATTATATACAAAACTTGCTTACATTCCCAAGGATCGAGCTCTCAGCAAACAAAGCAGGTCTGGAGAAATTCCTAGCCCTCTGAACAAACATTTTCCAACCTTGATTTCTTTTCTTTTTTCTTTTTTTTTTCTGTTGGAAATGTCCAACATCACCAGCACAAATTTCTTGCAAGCCACTGAATCCTCCTCACAGATGGGGCTCATAGCTAGAAAAGCCAGGCTGGCCTGTGCCTGGTGTGCAGCTCACAAGGGGGCAGAGAGAGATTTTGCCTGGAAGTGGGTCCGAAGCGGTTCCAAAAGGCTGACAGCCCTGTCACCCCTCACAGTGACCAGCCTGGCCTGCAAACCTGCTCAGGAGCCCCACTACAGTTTTGCAGCCAAGAGGATCACCAGGCTAATCCACGGATTGCTCTCCCCCATCTTTGCCCCAAATTTCTCCCTCGCCTCAGCTGGCTGGGGTTCCTTGGGGCACGGCTCCTCTCGGCCCTCTCCTCCCCTCCCTCCCGACTCACCACTCTCTTTTGGGGCTTGATGAGGGGCCGGCTGAGGCCGTTCATCTTGGTGTAGAGCCCGCAGGCGTTGCACAGGTAGTTGCCGGTGCCGTCCCTCCTCCACAGCGGGGTCTGGATGGAGCCGCAGTTGACGCACTCTCGGCTCTCGGACAGGTC